CAAAGACATTGCAATCAATAATTAGTCACCATTCATTGAATTTAAAAATATATGTAGAATACAATAGATGGCCAATAACTATTACTATTAATGATAGTAATCATATTAATTGTTATTATCTAATCAAGAAACATTCTCTTATTTGATAAAGATATACCTGGGCCGAGGCAGAGGGAAAAAAAAAGCACTTTAAAAGATGCGTGAAATGAAGCCAGACATAGTTACTAGAAAGGAGGATACTCACATAATTTTCATTGAGTTGTGTTGCCAAGGGAAAATTTTAATACCACTGAAGGAGCTGGTAGTATTTCTTCTTATTTTTATCTTGACTATATTCTTGAATAAAATTTAAGAACATCTGTCTTTCTGGATGTTGCTAAAAACCTGAGTGCCCCCCTACTGTCTTTAATCTGTTTCAACAACCTGAGAACTTCTCAACTGGTGCTTTTCTAAAATTAAATACATAAATAAATAAATGTTACTGATTTCTCTGTTGGTATTACCTGACTCAAACACAGAGGCCTTAATTCACAGGCTTAGGTCACTTATTGCCTGTCTTAAATCACGGAAGTTACGTGATTCATACACTGCCTATCCTGACCCTCCAACACACAGCAGAAAGGGATGTATTGCTTTCTTGGGCAGAATAATCACACCCTTAGCATTGTCTGGAGTCCCCGATCCCATTAGAGAAGGGAACTTTGGGCACCTCAGTCATGTCGATTCCAACTGCTTTCTCCAACAGAAATTTGTTAGTAGCTACCTACCGAAGTTTTAAACGTTTCTTCTCCACTTCCAAGATTTTTCTGAAGAGGGATGTACAAAACAAAGGCCAATATATTGATGTTTTACTCCAGCACTCTTTATGATAAGAAAGAGATTACCACTAGAAATGATTTAAATATTTGCATAGATGACAGTCTAAATGAAGTATGATTCCCTCTTTATGCATATATTCATGTTTTTAAATGTGCAGAAAATGTCTTAACACATAAAACTTTTAATAGTGGTTTCCTCTAGTCTGTGGGATTTACGGATGAAAGGAATGAAAGTTATGTAATTACTATATATCAAATTAGGTAAATTTTATACAATATATATTTCTATATTCTATTTATCTTCACGATCGTTTTTAAATAAGTATTTTATTTTGATATAATCATAGATTCACATGCAGTCGTAAGAAATAATACAGAGATCAGCATATCTCTACCAAATTTCCCCTAATGGCAGCACCTTGCACAACTATAGTACAATTCAAAACCAGCATGCTGACAATGTCACAGACAAGATAGAAAACACTTCCAGTCCCCACGAGGACCTCTTATGCAGCCCTCAGGTAGCACATTCACTTCCCTCTTACTCCCACCCATCCCATAAGACCTCTGGAAATCACCAATTTGTTTTCCATTCTATAGCTGTGTCATTTAGAGAATGTTATATAAATGGACTTATACAGTATTTAGCTTTATGAGAATGGCTCTTGTTCACTTAGCATAATTCCCTGAAGATGCATCCAACTCATTGATGTGCCAATAGCTCATTCGTTTTTATTGCTGGAAGTATCCCATCCTATAGATGTACAACAGTTTGTTTAAGCATTCATCCGTTGAAGGACAACTGGGTTGTCTGCAGGTTTGGGTTATTACAAATAAAACTGCTATGAACATTTGTGTACAGGTTTTTGCATAAACATGTTTCATGTCCTGAATAAATGCCCAGGAGTACAATTGGTGAGTCATATGGTAGTGGCACATTTAGTTTTTCAACAAAGCCTCAAGCCATTTTTCCGGAGTAGATGTACTATTTTACATTCACACCAGCATGCATTAGTGAGCCAATTTTTCTGCATCCTCACCAGCTTGTGGTGGTGTGACTTTCATAGTACATTTCATCAACGATGTCTACCATCATGTTGACCATCAGCCTCTGCCTAGCTTCCCAAACACAGCCTGAGCTCAGCTTCCATCTTGACCCACTCACTCTCTTTGATGCATCCCCAACATCCCACCATACGGCATCCATTTCTCAGAGTTTGGTAGCATGGGACTCTATCCTCAGTTCCCTCCACGTGGCAGTCTCGAGGGCATAAAGAATCATCCTTCTCAGATATGCAAGCACACCGAGCTGGGGGAAAGAGCAGCGAGCAGATTAATGGCACAAATGATGGGAGAGGACGGAAGGGCCCACCTGACAAGACAGAACTCGACAGAAGCAAAGCCACCCTCACGATGGACACAAACCCAACACTGACCGCTTTTAGGTTCTGGGCTATGTGCCGAGGGTACCGACATAAATAAGGCCAGATCCCTATTCGTTTGAGTTCAGAGTCTAAAGAGACTTTGAAATAAGTATGCAAATAAATATGTCTAAATCTGTGTTATGAATATGTCTATTGGTTAAAAATAGTATCTGACTTTTTTTAAAAATTACCATTGAAAAACTATTGAGGAGTCTGAAGCTGGGGAATGATTCTTATATCTTAAGAAACCACTTTTTCTGCTGTCTGGTTGGTGGATTAGGGGTCCATCCTTGGAAATACAGAGGCCATTTGGGAGAGTAACACAGACGTCTGGTGAGAAATGACAAGATTTGGGAAGAGCAAATGATAATGAAAATGTGATCATCAAAGTAGTATGACAGTGAAAAACTGTATATGATATTTATAACAAACAGGACTTTCATACCAATCAGGAAGTAAGGCTGAAGTATTGAGGATGATTCCCAAGCTTATGCACCAAGCAAGCAGGAACATAGTTGTGCTGTTTACTGAGACACGAAATTAGAACATAGGAACATGTTTTGAAAAGAAATGAGTCCAGGTGGGGGTCTGCTGAGCGGAACATAAACAAGGGCCTCTATGGGTGTCTTACAGGTAACTGAGACTGTTCTCCTCGAAGAAGGGATATAGGCTGTAGCTAGAGACTCTACGGGCAGTCACGGGAGCGCATGTGGTCCCCCCAGGAAGGTAAAGTGCAAAGAGGAGAATCAGGTTTAGAATCTTTGGAGGCATGAACATTCAGGGGCAGTGAGGTTAATAAGGGCCACATAAAGAAACTGAAAAAGAATGGTCAAATAGTAGTAAGAAAACTAGAGGTAGGAGGGTAACCCATTCAGCAGAAAATTTCAAGTAGAACGGAGGTGTATCCTATAGTCATTACTTTGAAGTAGTTAAGTAATATGGTAAATCACATTATGTTAACCCATTTTTGACACCCTCCCTTTCTGTAAGAGAATTATATGTCCCGCTCCTAAATAAGTCAGGTACCGTCACATGACTTGCTTTGGTCAATGAAACAGGAAGTTTTCAAAGTTGGCCTATGGTTCACTAAGTTCTCGTTTTTCCATGTGCCGTGATAATTAGAAATGCTCAAGACAGAAGTGCTCAGGTCACAGAATCACACAACATGGGGAGGGCTGTACCCAGCCCGCGACAGCTATGTAGGATCAGAACAAATTGAAATGTTGTGGATGTGAGCCCCTGGGATTTGGGGTTATTTAATACTGTAGTTGGGCAATCTAGTCCATTCTTACAGACTCGAGTAAAACGAGGAAGGAAAACAGGTATCACAAAGTGCAACAATTTTTTGTTGTAAAGAAAGTTGCGGGCAAGAAATTGCAGGAAATCAAGGTAACCTTCACAGAGAAGATGGCAGCTAACATCGTCTTAGAAGGCAACCAGGAAACAGAAACTACACTGATGCTTGGGACGGAAGGAATGCAACACGCAGAAGGGACTCGACAGATGACGCAAGAACCAAGAAGTCAAATCGGTGAGGGGGCAGCAACCTAGAAACTGGCACCAGCAGGAAGCCACGACCAAGCTCTGCTGGAGAGGAAACCAGAGGAGCTGATATGACCAGAGCCGGGGACTAGAGGTGCCTGGCAAAGGGGGGGCTGCCACGGGCTCGCCGGCAGGATGAGGGGCCCCGGGCACGGCGCAGGCCCTCCCAGAGACCTCCGCAGACCGGGAGCCAGGGGGGCCCCGCCCCAGCGTTCCTCGTCTCCCACCTCCCAGCTTCTGCCTGGCCCTCCCAGGGGCAGAACCCAACCCAAAGGTCAACTGACTCGGGGACCTGAGGAGGGCAACCCGCAGGGCGGCATCCTGCCCCGTCTCCTCCCTCCACTGGCAGCCACGGGGGTGCGTGTGATGCCCCAAAGAAGGCAAAGAGAAAAGGAATCCAATGGGAATCTGTGGCGGCATCAGCACAGAGCGGAGCAGGGGAATGGACCCCGGGGCAAATGGTCCCAAGAATGGCACAAGACCGGGTCTGAAGGCAGACATTTTAGGTGGGAACAAACTTGATTTTTCATTAAGGTGTAAAAGCATCAGCAGCGAACAGATTTAGTTACCTTCTCAGCATGACTTGGACCAGAGCACGCGGGAAGGAAGGAACACTGGTGAGACAGACATGCTCACAAAGGCCAGATTCTGAAGGGTCTTGTGCATCATGCTAAGGGGTTTGAAATATATTCTGTAGTCGGTCATATACAACCAGAACTATGTCTTGGAAAGATGATTCTGGCATCGCTATAGATAACAGCATTGGGCAAAGGAAAGGATCGTTCGGAGTCCACGCGCTCAAGGAGGATGTAGTGAAGACTAACTAGGCGGAAGGGTCTGTAAAGCTATGGCGTTGCCCTGTATAACCACAAACATAACAGAAACTCAAATCCTAGGGATGGAGACTCCAAACCAATGAGGTTTGTAAGGCCCTGTGCTTGTCAGACAATCTTTTGAAAATTCTTTTTGTTTTATGTTTAAAATTTTCTTTAGCAATACGATAATAGCAGTGTGAGGGTTCTAGAAACACTGTCAGATAAAGAAAATGTAGATGCTTAACTTAGAGATAAGGAGAAGGGAAGGAATGATTACATCTTATTGAAAACGTGGCACACTTTGATACCAGGCTCTCTAGAGTTTATGACCCAAGCGAAAATTTATCTGGTTAGTCCCTTCTGAATAGAGCCCCCAGAAATAAAAATAGGACAGACGGAAATCTATTCATTGCTTTATTCATTCTGTTCAAGGCTACCCACGTCCTAGGACGGAATGAGTGTCAGCCAGGGCGGAGGAGAGGCCGTCCCCCTTGCGGCCCACGCCTGCTTCACCTGCCGTCACACCAAATGTGACAGGGCCTCCTGAAAGGCAGAAGAATGAGAAGAAACTTAAGAGTAGCTTACATGCAATCAGCACGTTTCCAAAAGGAGTCGGTAGCCTATGTAGCCACCACTTACTGCTGGGAGACAGAGGCTCAGAGTGATCAAGTCCCACAGAGAGTCACAGAGCTGGGAAACGGCAAAGCCGTACCTAGAACACGGGTCTCTCTCCTTCAAAAATGCCTTTTGGAAATGCAGATAGTGCACTTGCCATGAGATTCCAGGACACGCAAACTTTATAGGAATGCAGGCGATAAGGGGCAGATACATGCTCACCAGGGAAACAGGGTGGGGGGAGTGGGCTGGGGTGGGAGGTGTTCAGTGTGATTAGGCCCTGCCCTTCTGCAAATGAGCCCCACAAGCTGTAGTTACCAGCAGTTTCTTTACGGCCTCAGAGGCCTCCGGTCCCAACTCATCCACACACTTCCTCAGTCCTTCTACAAGGTGCTCAACAGAAATGCCCAGGGTTTTCAGAAGAAGCTTTAATGGATCCATGATTGGGAGAATGTTGTCCAGAGGTAAAGGTAAGGCATTGTTGACAGGAAGTGGTAATCTGTTGAAAATGAAGGCAGCAGCTGCAGAGCAAAGGAGAAACCAAGTGAGACAGACATGCCCAGCTCTGCAGCCTCACCACCTTCCCATCTATTGGAGGCTCCGTGCCAGGGCCATGCGTCTCGGTTTCCCTTTAAAACTGCCTCAGGGCCTTTGCACCTGCTGCTCCACCTCCCTAGAACTTTCTTTCCTCAGATAGATACGTCTTTCTTCCTCACATTACTTGGTGTCTGTTCAAATGCTGCCCCCTCAGAGAGGTATTTAAAATAGCACTGCCTGTCCCCTCTATCCTCTTAAATCTTTTCTTACCATTCCATAAAATATTAAATATTTACTTATTTACTTTGCCTTCATCTTCTCACTGGAATGCAGTCTCCATGAGAACAAGGAATTCATGTTTTATTCATTGTCCATATGCATAGAACAGACCCCGGCATGTAGTAAGCAAGCAGTCAATAGATAGTGGTGTTAACTGAATAGGGGTGTCAGTTCACATCAGTTCACATGGTCGTGTCCAGAGCCCACGTCTGTGAGGCCGAAGAGTAAATGCCATGTTACATCTCCACTTGGGACATGCACGGACCCGATGTTAGCCCAGGAAACTGCTCCCAAACAATTCAGGCCAATGCTGCAAAAATAATCAACACCAACTCTATGCCAGCTGGTGCAGATATGTAGGCGAATGGTACAAGAACACTCCATTCAAAGGGCTCACACAGTCTAGGGGGCAACACGGATCTGCGTATGCCACCGTGCATCTCATGCCATGCAATCATGGACAAAGCTCTGTGGAAGCGTAAGAGAAGGGATGGCAAATTCTGATGTGGGAGAGCAACATCCCAGAGAAGATGCTGCAGGAGCCGTGTCTCGGGGCAGAGGGTGGGATCACAGGCAAACAAGGGGAGTCGAGTTCTAACAAAATTAACAAAGGCACAGACACGTGAAGAGGGAGGTGTGCACACAGGATGGGAGCCTTCCTCCCAGGGCGGGTGGGGTGTGGGTCCCCCCGGGGGCATGTGGAGGGGGTAAGGCAGGTGAGGCAGGAAGACCTAAGCGACGTCAGATTTTTCAGGGTCTTGATGCCACATGAAAGAGTTTCAGATTTCTTCCCCAAGGGCAATGGTGAGTTGTCAAGGCTTTTATATGGACCAATAGCATTTTAGGTCTTTGACTTTAGAAATGTAACTTATACACAGAAGATGAATTGGAGGGAAATTGTAAAGAATGGGACAAATACCATACATATTTTTACAAAATATGTGTAGATAAACACACACATGCATGAGCAAACATGTAAGAACACATATCGTTCTGCTGGCTAAGACCCTGCCATAGTTCATTTTCCTTTGGAGTCCTTTTTATTTCCCCATTCAAATCATAAAAATGGAGCCTGTGCACACCTTTCCTTCGTCTTCTACCCCCCTTTTGCCTGTCAAAATTCTCCCCCCAGAGAAGGAGTATTTATTTCCTTCCACCTCTATCTATGGCTATTTGCTCCTGGACACAGAAGAACAACAATATAGCCAAAATTGGTGAAATTACAAATTGGTCTAAAAACTCAGTAAAAACTACGAGCCAAAGTTGCCAGTGTGGGTGTGGGTAGCACCCGGTTTCTCATGATCCATCTTCCTGCTTCTTATTTGAAACCCTTTGGTGAATGTCTTCTCTGTGGGCACTTACATATCCCCAAGAGAAGACGATCAAAGCTTTGTGTTCGCTCGATGAATAGTGGCCATCAGGATGCATTTTGCAGATGCTCCCAAACAGATCTACCTGCACGCAGTTAAAAGTGGCTCCTCCTGCCGTTGTCCTTCAAAATCCTGGCCTAGAAACTGGACTGCTCACCTCTCACTACTCCCACAGAGCTCCATCTGAATACGGTGTTGCGCATTGCAGAAGTTCAGTACTTATGGTGACTTCCTCCTAGAGAAGTCACATCTCACTTGCCAGACTATAAGAACCTTGAAAACAGTATTCATGTCTGGTTCATGTCTGAATCTTCCAATACTTATCCAGGGCCCAACAAATTGTAGCCATTCAACAAATCTCTATTGATTGTGTGAACAGATAAATGGAGCTATGTTTCAGGGAACCAATCAGGCAACTGATTAGAGATGATGGAAAGAAAATAGGAAAAAAGCTCAAAGGAAGAAGTTGCAAAATGAGATTTTGACTCATGATTATAAGGAAACTACGGCAACCAGTGTTCAACAATGAAATGTGCATTGTTCATCTTCAGTGGGAGTTGGCTGACTTCTTACGTTGGAATCATTACAGACAATACTTGTATTGGGTTGGAGTCAGGTGTGGCTGGTGTTTGCTCTACCTGAAATCCCTTCCAACACCATCACCCCATAGTTCTCAAACTCCCTCAACCATATTCCACTGAGAGCCTAGGCTTACTAGTTATGATCCTATTAACAGAAAAGTAGAGAAATGTATGTTCTAGGCTACTTACCAGAGTAACTGCAAATGCTGATGGTCACCAGCAGGAACACAGTGACCAGCTTCATAACAGGTTATCTGTGATTGTTACTTGGAGTTTAAAATTAAAGTGGAAAACCCAGTAAATCCACTGAGCCAGTGATTCCACTTGCTGTGCCAAGTGACAGCTGCTTTTGCACACCCACATATTTATACACTACCCACCAAAGACCTGAATTGCAGTCGTAGCCACTTGACTCGCCCCTGTGAATAAGAGCCTGAAGGTCATGTTTCTTCATTAAACAAACTGGAGGGTTTTCCGCTTTCCCTCATGTTCCCATGAGAAATGAAGCCCTAATTTGCAGCATTCTCAAGGACCTCTTGCATAAGCCCTGCACAGAGACCCTGGTGGGAGGCCGAGAGATCTGAGAGTCCTTCTATTACAAGGACACTGAGAAGGGGGGAAGATTTTATACTGGGATTAAAAGGAGTTTTAATCTGCTGCTTTCCTCTGGCTTTCTGTTCATTTGAAGTTTGGAGAATTACTCTAACTGATGAACTACCCAGTTGTAGAAGCAATCTGGAAGTCCCGTCAGCCCTGGCATAATACAGATTTAGTCACATTTAATACCACATTTCTCTAACGTTTATTTCTGCCAACCTACAGTAAGTAAGATCTTCCACGTTTTTTATGGTCTCCCAGCTATTTTTGAGAATCCCCAGCATGTGCTTTCTCTTGCTTTCATAAAAAATAATAGGCTCAGGATCTAAAGTCAGAATGTGTTTTTAAAAATCTGGGATTCAATATTTACTGTTTGTATAATCGTGGAATAGACATTTTTGTCTATAGCATTGATCTCTTCATCTAAAACATGGATATTCACAACGGATGGTCCCGAAAGTATGTGACTGTGAGGAAAAAAATATATATTCCAAGACCCCATCCACATAGCAATTTAAGTCAACAGAAAATGTACTTCAGAACCGTTGTGGCAGTCCAATCCCATGCAATCATGCGAAAGAAATACTGCGCCAGCCTCTGAGGCAACCTGCTGGGGAGGCTGCCTTTCCGGGGCAAGGACTCAGCCATTGGCTCCAGAACGACCTTAATTTTACGCACCAGTCCTGGAGGTCTTTGGGGCACCCGATGCCTTATATGCAAGGGAAAGAGAAAGAAAGAGCCCTGAAGAGAAAAAACAGGGATCAGGGCTCAGGCTGGTCCCGGTCCCATGCCAGGGCTCCCTGGCTGCACGGTACTGCTCGCCTCAGCCACCAACAAGGGACTGAGCACCCTCTGAGGAAGGTACCGCTCGCCAAAGCATGGGCCCCGTGAGGTGCCAGGCCAAGAGTTGCGGCCCCACTTGAGGGTGTGGTATGGCTATGAGGATTTAGTAAAATTATGCAATCAGAGGACATAACTTCACCAAAGCAAAATTAATAGTTAATAAATATCACCTGTTATTCATTCCTGTAAGTTACTGAGTTGTAACTGCCGTTTCTCTGCTTCTCTGAGACTGTATTAGCGGCACACAGAGATCACGAACCGCCGCCATGCATACCGGTCTCGCCTCTTCTACCGCCTTCCCTGCCAGTGGCTGCTTCTGCTTCTCGGGGTATCACCGCCTAGCTGGGGATGCTCACGTGCCAAACCCTCCAAGGGCCAAGTCGTGTGGTGAAGTGCCGGGGAGTTGATGCCATCCTCATTTTTTACGTCATGACCCCTTCGTGGGGTACTAGCCAGTGCTGTCCTCACCCTGCCTGCCATTTGCCAGCTTCTGTCCCGGCCCTTCCCCTCCCCTGCTCTTTACCATAGGTAGTTGAGTCTTGCAAACTGTGGTTTCCAGACCTCTTTGCCAACTGTGGTCAGGTCTGGCTGAGGGAAGGCACTGGTAGAAGCTTGGTAGGGGAGAAAGGGGGAAGCCAGGGCATTTCTCCCTCTCTCTGTTTGAGGAACTGTCTTGGGCAGTGACTCATCTCGTCCACGGCTTCAGTTCCGCATTTTCTAATCTCCCTGTTTGGTTCTTTAACTGCATTTCTAGCACCTTGTAAATTATCCTCCAAGTTAGATTCTTTCTTTTTGATCACCTGGTATGGTTTTTATTTTCTGGTTGGATTTGGACTAATATAGCAACTTAAAATACTATAGAGCTTTTGGTAAAAACAGATCTTTCTATTTTTAAATACAGGCCTCTCTCTTGCAAGAGCCCCAGAAGAGTGCGCAAGGTGCAGGGCCAAGACACCTCCAAGGGAAGTGGCGTCGCACGTGCAACCAGCTCTGCAGTGTCTGGTGCTGTTTGGACTTGTCTGCCGGCCCCCCAGGGTGAGTTCTTTCCCAGGAAGTTCCTCAGACCCTATCTAGTGGTCTTCCAAGCTCCTGCAGTCTTGGCTGAAACCTAGAAGCAGACATGGATGACTTAGACTAAAGTCTAGAACCTGCTCCACACAAAACACGCACATACTCACAAGCATGAACACATGTCCACGTATTTAACCATAATATGTGCATATTCACACACAAATCACACATATGTATCAAACACTACGGTTTCACTCATGTATTCAGCCAGTGTTTTTTGAGCATCTACAGTGTGCCAAGCAGTGTCAGGAACTAGAACTGGAGCAGTGAACCAGTCGAGCGACTGTCTTGCCTTCCTGCACTTGACAGTGTAATGGATAAACAGACAAACAGGTAAACAGACAGAAGACCCAGTGGTGAGGGCTATGGGAAGCGCATGGGCTGGGAGAGGGGACGGGTGGGCGCGGGTCACAGAGTCAGAGCGTCAGACTCGGGGACAGATCTGGGCTTGGCTGGTTCCATGCTCCCTATGTTCTCAGCCACTGTATTAATCATGTCTTTTTACTCCGTGTTTTGGGGCTTTGACATCTTGGGGCCTTGCTGACCCTGGAGGGCCTGCCCCTCCCAGGACTAGCTGATTCCTAGAAATAGCCAACAATTCACCTGGAAATGTACCTTTCATATGGAAACCCTCCAATCTAGAGCCCACACTGCTAACCACCTCCTTTATGGAGCTCTCATACCCTGGCCCCCTATATCCCTGCCCTACTCAACCCACAGCCAGGGGCCAGACAACTAGGAACGCCCTTACATGCCAGACCTGCTGAAATAATTCCAACCAGCCATTCCCAAACCTGCTTACCCTGTCTCTTCCATCCCTTCCCACAGAAACAACATGTAAGGTTCTTGCGCACACACCCCCACTCTCCCACATCCCTGCGAACCCTACTTCCCTGTGCCCCTACCCCTTGTGGTAGGGCCACAGGGATATGTGAGTATAAAAAACTACATTTTCAATGGCAATCATCTCTTGATCTATTGGTGTGAAAAACAACAAAACCTGTATTTTAAAAGTGGCACCTAAGCCTTTTCCTGTGCCTACAGGCATGCAATGGCACCATCTTCCCTGGCAGCATAACTGCACCGGTGTCTTCTTTTCCGGGACTAATGGGAGACATCTTGAGGGGGTTTCCTTGTCATGTTTGGATTGTTAACACAGAGCCTTGTATACTTGATAATATCACTAGGGACAAGTAACCAGTGCCAGGCACTACAGTTTGCATGTGGTATTCATTTCAAGTTTTGAAAAACCCCCAAAGGTAAGCACTTTTATTCAATTTTATAAATGAGAGGTCTGGAGCCAGAAGCAATGAATTAATTGCCACGGTCACTTAGATAATAAATAACATGGCCAGAATTTGAGCCCTTGCTTTTCTGACTTGTATTTCTTTACCTTGAAACACTTAACTAACATGCATTTTCAGTAATCATTGGCTAAATTAATTCTTGGAGAGAAATTAAATGAAAAGGAAATGTATGCCAATGTTTCTAAATTTGTTTTGGACAAGTTTTTTGAATGGATTTTTTTGCGGAGATTAAATTTATAACTGGGAATAGAAATTCAGTCAACCATTCAACGATTACTTATTGAGCACGGCTGGTGTCCTCGGGCCTTTGGCAGATTCTGGGAGCGCAGCAGGACTCCTGCCCCACATGCATTATATTAGGGGAACCTGCTAGAAGCAAGTCAGGATGCCTCTTCTCTGTAAGAGGAATGACAGCTGTAAAGAAGCCATTGAATGTAGATATGACACTGGTAAGAGAAAAGAAAAGGCCCAGCCTGAGATTTCACCTCAAACTCTCCCTTCCAGCTGAAAAGGGGGCAGCCACGACGAAGTCCATGCTGGAAATGTCTGACCAGAGCTGGCTATCCTCTCTCTTCCACTTGCTGCAAATCGGATGGCCAAAAGTAGCCTGAACTTCAGGCTATGTAAGAGCGGGGGGAAATAGTGTCAAAAAATGCAAGCATATGAAATATAATCAAATGCCACAATCAGTAGATCAACCTCAGAAGGCCTGGAGAAAAGCTAAAAAAAAAAAAAAGTGTGCCTGGCTTCCTTCCATATTGATCAAATCCTATTTAATGGGCATCAGTCCCTTATCATGCAAGGCTAACTTTTAGCCCTTTTCTACACACTGCAGAGGAATTCAAATGGAATGCAAGCCTAGGATGATGAAACAGGAAATGTCAGGTGAACGAACATTGGATCGAAGCAAAATCTAGAGAGCATCAGAAGGGGAGGCCAATGAGCAGTTTGAACTTGATTTTTCAGTGAAAACTTCAGGAATTGAAATGGTTCTTGAATTCAAAGATTTGAATAAGCAGAAAATATAAGACATAAAACCAGAATTTGCAATGTTTTGTTTTACAAAGCAAATTGAGACAACTAGTTAGGCTGGAAGGAAGGGTGTGCGGGTGGCGTGTCTTCCATCTGTCTGACCCAGCACTGTGCAGTCCCAGCGTCCAGCCATGGCGAACCTCAAAGTGTTCAGTTCACAACCAGACCGTCGATAAGCTGTGCCAGACGAGTCAGATGGGAAGGAATGGCTATAAAGGCTGAACTCTGATTCCCCAATGGGACCAGCACTTGATCTGGCGAGACATTTTTTTCTAATTGAGGTGTGACTGACATATAACATTATATTAGTTTCAGGTGTACATGATTCAATATTTGTATATATTTTGCAAATTAGCACAATAAGTCTAGCCAACATGCACCACCAAACATTGCCACAAATTTTCTTTTCTTGTGACAAGAACTTTTAAGATTGATTTTCTTAGCAACTCTTGAAAATGCAGTGCGGTAATAATCATAGTCGCCATGCTACACATCGCAT